TAATTCTGATTTCCAGCCCCAGCGCCAGTTCACGCCACAATGTTGTCCACCAAGTCCACCGAATTGTAACCTTATGCATGAGAGCTTTTCAGTCACCTTATCGTCGAGTAAACATTAGTTATTGGCTGTGGCGCTGTACTTGGGATTCCGGGTACCCCCCAGGAGGCCCGTCGCGCGGCAAGAAGGCAAAGTCAGCGGACGAGTCGCGCGCGTACTATAGGGATTTCGCGTCAAGTTAAATAGAGTGTCCCACTTGCACGTCCTACATCGCACACCACGCGCTGCAACTCGTCCGCCGACTCTGCCTTCTTGCCGCGCGACGGGCCTCCTGGGGGGTACCCTAGGATTCCTGAGAGCATCAGTTAACTTCCAGGCATACGTTTTCGAAGAATTTGAAAAGCAGCGTCGAAGAAGCCAGCGACCGAAACAATTCTGACCGCTACGTGTTCGCCAAAACCACAGCAGGGGTACGCAAGCAAGTCTCAATTTGACCAGTAATTTGACCTGTAAAGCATTGCAGAAGAAAAATTTCTTTGCAGTTGGAACATTTGAACGAAGTTTAGAGGAACTCCGACAATCTCTTTTTTTTGCAGTTCAGCTGCTTGTGATAAGTGCACGCAGGGTCAACCGTCTGTTACGCGGGATCAGGAGTTCTAAGGCTGCTGCCTTTTCAAGAGACAGTGCATTAGTACGACCTCCCCCCCTACATTAGCTATTTATGCCTTTTACATATTTTTATGCCCATCACTGATGTGTGGGCCGTCATCGAGGTAGTGGGCAGTGAGAAGTTATTATACTTTGAAAGTAGAACGCGTTGTAGAGAAGGTCATTTGTCTTCAACAAGGGGTCTTATCTGCTAATTTTGAAGGATGTGGAGTCATATTCAACGAAATTGGCATTGCAATCCTGTAAGACATCGGAGAAGAAAAATTCCTGGGCAGTTGGAATATTTTCACTGGATCTAGAGAACTTCGTCGATTTCGTACTTTTTGCCGTTTCAGCTGATTGTAATAAGTGCACGCAGGGTCAACCGTCTGTTACGTGGAATCAGGAGTTCTAAGGCTGCTGCCTTTTCAAGAGACAGTGCATTAGTACGAAATCCCCCCCCTACATTAGCTATTTATGTCTTTACATATTTTTATGCCCATCATTGATGTGTGGGCCGTCATCTAGGTAGTGGGCAGTGAGAAGTTATTATACTTTGAAAGTAGAACGCGTTGTAGAGAAGGTCATTTGACTGGGTTCAAGTTCAACAAGGGGTCTTATTTGCTAATTTTGAAGGATGTGGAGTCATATTTGGCGAAATTGGCATTGCAATCCTGTAAGACATCGGAGAAGAAAAATTCCTGGGCAGTTGGAATATTTTCACTGGATCTAGAGAACTTCGTCGATTTCGTACTTTTTGCCGTTTCAGCTGATTGTAATAAGTGCACGCAGGGTCAACCGTCTGTTACGTGGAATCAGGAGTTCTAAGGCTGCTGCCTTTTCAAGAGACAGTGCATTAGTACGAAATCCCCCCCCCCTACATTAGCTATTTATGTCTTTTACATATTTTTATGCCCATCATTGATGTATGGGCCGTCATCTAGGTAGTGGGCAGCGAGAAGTTACGGCGTGCTATATGTCGCGCTCAGAGAACTGAACTCGAGGCAAGATGAAATGTATTTGAAAGGTAACTTCCAATTGCATAAACCTTGTTTTACTTTTACCAGCGAAGACCTCTACTTTCAGAAGCGCACCATGTTTTTTTTTGAACCAGGAGAAATCACTTTTTACGATGTGAGAAACTGAGTTTTGCAGTAGTTGCGTACCTCTTCATTCAAAAAATTATATTTTTCTTGAGTAACCCTCTCACGTGACGTGATACGAAAATTTGAAGAGAGCAAGTTGTTTTCTTTCTAAGAAAGTATTTGAAATGTTGCAAATGTTCAATTCTTTCAAAAAATCGTCCCGTTGTTCCTTTTTTGTGCACACGCGAGTTTCCAGTTCAAACGTTCTAACTTCTTCATAATCAATTTTTTGCAGATCACTAAAGCCATGTATAAACTATAGTAGTGGAGCCTTGGGAATGTTCTCAGACCTTTCTGGAGAGAGCGAAAAATAGTCTGGTTCCGCTTTTTCTTGTTTTTTTTGGCCATTCTCCTGAAACGCTGGAAACAACCATTGACGCCCATGGATTTCTTCAGAATTGGTGTCATAAAAGGCGGTAAAAACCGATAAAGTCTGCACGATCAATGTTTCATCATATGTGCTGGCCTTTTTTGAAAAGCTTTCTGATAAAAATCTCTCTTTTCAAAATTTTCTATAGGGGCTCTAGAAGTCAATGCGCCGATTTTGCTGGAGTTTCCCCACTTTGATTTGGTCTTATTGGATGGTTTTCGTCTTTGAGATCATCAGAGTTCCTTTATAGAATCTGATTGCTCGTGCTCACTGGGATATGGAGTGTTTTAGTAGGGAATCCTCTTCTGGGTTACGCCGTATACTCGTCTGTGGTCAGGAGTAGCAGCGACATTGCAGGTCTGTACTTCTTAGCCACTTTGCCATGCCTTGGAACATTCAAATTCTGTGACTGGTCCTTTAGCTTGAAACCCCTTTTCAGTTCCATTGGCCAAATACGACCCGCTTGTTAATCTGTGCACAACGAATGGTTGACGTCGGGTACAAACGCAAGTTCTCGAGTTCTCTTTAGTGGCGATCACACATGCAGTGTTAACCTGAAACAGTCCGAATTTAAAGTTTCCACTGGAAATGGTCATAAGATTCGTTTTCAGCACACGATTTTCCCCTTTTCAAAGTTTTCTTTGCAAAATTGATGATTTCATTTGCTTAGTGTGTTAACAAAATGATCGGCCACATGTTCTATGGTTGAATTGACTAACTTGTTCTCTATTCACGAAACACAATTTAAGCAGGCTCTCAAATTCACAGAGGACACTTCTTGATAATTGCAAAAAAAGGCTACAGTAGGGATCCAAACCCCTAGCTTCTCAGGTAGGAGACGAGGATAGCAGGGACTATGACGCCGTTCTAGTTCCGTGGCAGCGTGTGCGTCTCATATTCGTGGTGGGCGTGGATCCAGGATCAACCATGCATGGCGCAGTTCTCAACGGATGGGTCGTACTTGGAGTTGATGAAGATGAAAAGGTTGAAAAGAGGGTCGTATTTTGGGAGCTGAGGGATCATTGTGGTGAAAAAAGGGGGTCGTGTTCGATCGGTTTTTTTTTGACGATTTTGACGAAAACTTTGTGATAGAAGCGCGAAATAGACAAAATTAGAGCATCAGCAGTTTTATTGGGCTTATTTCGTCCCCCCTCCCATCTCTTGAGAAAAAGTGGGAGGAGGCTGTGTCGACTGGTCTCAAATCAAATGCTAGAGAAACAGCTATGGATGGTGAGTATCGTAGTTAGGGGTGGGGAGCGGTGATGGAGTCGTGTCGAGACCCTCTGGAAGGGGGAGGTCGTCAACTTTTTGGGTCTGAGTCAACGGACGGTTGACCTTGCTTGAGTATACTTCTTGCTAACCTTTGTGAACGTTATTGCAAGATATGGGTGCATAACCCATGACTTAGCCTAAGATAAGCCTAGGAAGAGGCAAGCTTTTTGGGAGTAAATTTGCGCCTGTGCTCTGGAGCCTCTCCCCTAACCCAAGGCTTGCTCCCTTCATTGAAAAAATGGATATTTGACGTGGTTTTAAATGCGTTGCCGCCGTAGTGCCCCTGTATCTTGCGATAGCGCCCTTTTGTGACTCAGTTCAGAGAAGAGTTCAGCAATTGCAATGAATAAATAGGTAGAGCTTCCGTAATTATGTAGAGCAAATAAGAGAGAGAAGATTCGGTGATACCTACTCAAAAGCCTGAAAGCAGAACCCGCAGCTGGACGGGGGACCTCGTTGGTGGCATTTGCTACGCGCGCCATTCGTATCCATGGTAACGACCATGCCACTATGTGAGTACTGAAAATTTGATGATTAGTACCCAGCGACCATGCCAGCTCAATGAAGCTCCAATATTTATCTACCCTCCTGCCACCGCAGGTACTACGTTAAAATATAGCGGATAAATTTGTGTGTAAAATTGTTTTTTTTCAAAGATTTGTTCATTTTTTTTTCAAAAATTTGAGAGCCTACTGATTTTATGCGGTAAAAAATTTCCACATTTATTACATATATATGGAATTGTTCGGCAGATTTCATGTCAATAAGATGTCCTGAAAGGGAAAAGAACTTGCACTAGTATTACAGTATTTTGGGTTATTTAAAAAAAAGTTCACAGTTTGTAGCGACAGTTTCAAAGCACTCAGCTTTGAATGATTCTTGGGCACTCTCCCTTGTTCCAAGGGCTTAAATTAATTGATTGATCAAATGATGATGTCGATCACAGGATTATGTCTTATTTACCTTTGTTCATTACTTATGCATTTTTTATTTATTTATTCTATTTATTTATTTATTTATTTATTTATATTTATTTAAATTTATTGTTGCAGCGGTGACTAATTGTTGACCAGTGGACGGTGACGATGATGGAAGGGGTGGAGGTGATATTTGGCAAATATTCCATGTTCCCATTTCTTGCCCTGTTCGAAGGCTTGACAAAATTTTTCACTTTTCTCCTAACCGCTCAAAACATTCCACAATTATATTGTACCTTTGGAACTTGAAGGCACAGGTTTCACAAGAATGGGTTATTATTCTTTTTGAAAATTAGACAAGAAGCGCGAAAGGGAACTCTAGTGGAAAAAAAAGCACAGCAAACACTGAAATTTTTATGTGAGGTCGACCGTGATATGATGCAGAGATATAGCGTTGCGAGGAGAGGGAACGAGAGAGCACGTCGTACACGAGAGGGCGCAGACGTAGCATGCTGCGTGCGACTGAAAGGAACTGCAACGGTCACAATGGTCAAGCGAAGACGCTAGCTTCCTTGTAGCGCACTTTCAAGTCACGGCAGTACCACCACCATCCCTGTGGCTGGGGCCCTCCTATATCTCTGAGGATCTGATCGTGACCCGTGCCTTCAAGAATCTCAAACCCGAGGACCCCTATTGGTTTTGTGGAGGCTGTTCTCTTCAACGTTCCACTTCAACTTTCCTCTTTGCGACTCTTTTCTGATTTTCAGCAAAATAACGGACCAGTCCGTGGGAGATTCTTGACCAAGAAAGGACCCGTTAGGGTTGCTTCATATTGTTTCACCTTTATTGCTTTGCTAGATATGTTCTATTTCAAAAGTTTCTTATTCATTACTTTTGAAGGAAGGTTCCAATAAAATCTGCTCCTTGGCCTGCACTCCAAATGGTGTCAAATTGGCCGTGGTCGGACGAGATCGCGTTATCACCCTGATCGATGAAAAAGGCGATGTGAGGGATCGATTCAGTTCAAAACCATTGGACAGCAAGGTGAGATTCACTTGACTAAGTAAATAAATATTTACGTTTCACTACTTTTAATCAATTTTGCTATCCTTGATCTAGCGCAGTCGATAGGGGCTCAGTCGCATTCGCGTTCTTCGTCAACCGCGCCATTTATCCCTCCGTTTTAATATTAGTTCTATACTTTTCTAAAAGGAGTCTGCTTTACACTGAGTTTACCTTGATCACTACGATTCGTGAAGTAGACGTGATTTTCATTTGAATGCCTCTCTATTTCGGGGAAATTTGAGATCGGTTACGATTTTTTTTTTTTCTTCCGGTTTTACCTGTAAATTCAGTTATTTCTATCAAAGCGCCTTCACTTCGAGCGCACTGGAGCACCATGGATCGCAGCGCCATTCCCTCCGTGAGCGTTGACAAGAGCCTTCAGCCGCCGATCCACTACCTACCATCGCCTGCCAACGCTCCACAGTCTAATCCTCCTCTTAACCGATGTCCTACCATGGCCGTCTACCGCAAACACGACAATCCCTATAGGCTCTTCCGACATTAGGAAGCCTGATCCTCCATTGACATTCAGCCGGAGCCCACCTTCTGCCAGGACTTTCTGCCATTTCTGCACCTTGGCTTGAAGTTCCTCTCTGCTATCCGCTATCAAGGCGATGTCGTCAGCATAGAGGATAGTCTTCAGTGGTCCCTCCATGAGCCCCTTCACCAGGACATCTAGTGTTAGGAGGAAGAGGAACGGGCTCAGAGCTGACCCTTGGTGCACCCCGACCGTGATGTCCACCTCCTTCGTTAGGCCGTATGGGGTGCGTATAGCTGCCTTGGCCCCTATCGTACCATTCCTTCACTGGAGAGAGAACAGGTGTCTGGCACATTCCACTCCCTTGAGGATATCCATAGTAGCTGCTCGCCAGCAGAGAGCGGTCGAACGCCTTCTCCAAGTCGAGGAAAGGCTAGGTAGCAGGGTCGGCGCTTTTCTCGATACTTCTCCATCACTTGCCTTGCGATGAAGATGGCATCCGTTGTAGACTTTCGGGCATGAACCCGAACTGTTCCTGGGAGATCGGGACCAGCTCCCGCAGTTTCAAAGTCGACCAGGCGCTCGTACAGCTTCGCCTTGCGTCCTTTGGCTTAAAAATGGGGATGACATACTTGTTTCCAGCATCCCGGGTCTTCCTTCAGCAGCTCCCGTTTCAATAAGCGGGTGTGCCGCATATCCCTTACCTCACAGCGCCTCCAAGCTCTATGGGTACTCCATCCCGGACCAACCGCCTTTCCAACCTTCATCTTCCCAAGTGCACACCTAACCTCATCCTCTGTCCAGAGTGCGATGGGACCAGCTGTGGCCTCTGCCCGTGAGTTGTTCTTGTGGGGAACTCCTCGTTCAGAAGACCTCTGAAGTACTCTTCCCACCTCCTCCGGACTTCGGCTGGCTTCCTCAGAATGGCGCCGTTGCTGCTCTTCACACTCTTCACAACCCTGCTAGTCCCTCCTAGAGTTTAAGAGAAGAGTCCTCATGTGGACTGTCGCAACTCAAAAGTGCGAGGCAACGGCGCTAAGGCCTTGCCTTGTGTGCTGCCGTGCTGCCATCCTTATCAATCGCGGCATACGTGGCGTCTGCGCCCTCTCGCGTACGACGTACTATCTCGCGTTTTCCCTCTCCTCGCAGCGCTGTGTCTCTCCGTCATACCACGGCCGGCCTCACAAGGGAAATTTAGTGTTTTCTATGGTGCTTTTTGCTTTTTCTCCTCACTAATGTTCCTCATTGCACTCCTTGCCTAATTTTCGAACAAAATAACGCATCAATTCAATCTCGACTCGTGCCTTCAATGCTCGCGATTTTCCATTTTTTCGACTTTTTTTCTTTTTTATAGAAGTAATATTGTTCACTTCTAAAGTTGCTCTTATTCAGTACGGCAAGAAGTCTTATGCGATTAAATCGGTCTGCTTTTCACCCGATTCCTCGCGACTCGCCGTCGCCCAGTCTGACAACGTCGTTTATGTTTACAAACTTGGAGAATCTTGGCAAGTGTTTGATTCAATTTTTGTTGAAAACCCGACTTCTGAAGTATAAACACGCAGTGTCAGTTGGTCCACTGCGTAGGGAAGCTTAGCCCTAACCTTAAGTCATCGGTTGACTTTTCACTCTCTTAACGTTGTTATCGTTAAATTCTACTCGAGGCCTCTGAAACGAAGCTGGCAGGAGGAGGAGCCAAGGCAACCCAAGTGAGATCGCAATTCCACTACCTCCACGATTGTAGGTGTAGTCGAAATGGACAATCTATTCGTGAAACCGCAGCCAAGGGTGTAGAAGCAGGGTCAACCGTCCTGAAATAAGAAACGTTACGACCTCCTTCCCCTCAGATGGCCTCCTGCGACTCCCCCCCCTCTTCGTGATAGTTCTTGTGGCAGACGCGCCTATGCAAATTGCGCGTGGTTACGTCCGTCCCTTGAGCCTCTCCTGTGCATTCGAACCCTCACCTCTCCTCGCCTCCCCCTCGTTGGACTTTTACCAAGGAACTGTTGACCCAGGGTTGACCATGCTTTGCGCAGTCTCAGCTCGAGGGGGTCGTATTTGAGTTTTTATGGAGAGGGGGGGGGGGATGTGATTGGTGTGATCTGTGAAGGTCGAGAAGTTGGAAGGGGTCGTATTTTTGGAAGTTGAAGAGGTCCGGTGTTTGGGGGGAGGGGGGGCTTGTTTTGGGCAGATTTTTGACTTCGTATATAGTCCATGAAATAGTTATTGTAAAAATATTGATATTTTGGCGATTCTTGAGATATAACTCCTTCCTCGCTCGGCGGCCATTACAAAAGGGAAAAATGGGCGGAGTTAGACGACTGAGTCTACTGGTCTCAGAATCAAATACTATAGAAATAGCCATGATGGTTAAGTTGGCTGTCGAAAGGTGGGAGCCCGTATGTGTCCCAAAGGAGTGATCATAGGCGGCGGGAGATGTATCGAATCCCTCTCCGAGAAGGTGGTTGTCAAATTTCAAGAGTCGGAATGAGGGGCACCCGACAGGAGGCCCGGCGACGAGAACGTAGAGACGCAGACGGGTCAGCGGACGAGTCGCATCCCGTTACATGATGCATGATGGTACAATAGTACATTCTGTTTACCTTAGGGCAAAATCGCTCAAGTACACGCTGCGACTCGTCCGTTGACTCATCTATGTCTCTGCCTTTTTGCGCGCGATGAGCCTCCTGTCATGTTCCTTTGGGAAAACGCACGTCGACCCTGTTTAGAAGCCGCCTGCGAAGTCATCATTTTGGATTTGTTAGCTCGAAGAACAATTGGAAACAAATGAGGTCTAGCCTGAGGGATAAATGACTTAGCCATTGGTACCTACACAGAAAAAGCGCCTTTTTCCGCCGTCAGCCGCGTTCCACCTCAACCTCAGTCGGCGAAAAAACCTATGAAGAGTGACGCTCAACTGAGCCACGCGCAAGCGCATTCCTGTGATTTTCGGTGGAGTCATCTTTCACGATAGCGTCATCACTCAACGTTTTCTTCAAACGTTCTTGATCGTCATGTGATTTTTAATCCAGTTCAGGAATGAGAAGAAAGTGATCGTGAACAAATACCAAGCAGAGGGCTGCGCCACAGTCGGTTCAATGCCTTGTCGATTGATAAATTATTGTTGGACGCGGTGATGGGAAATTACGGTCGGAAAGGACTCCAGCAGGAATAGTGCACCTCGCGACAAGACGGATGAACCGGTCGCAGTTCTGACACGAAGTGAGTAACAAGTAACTGAATATTGAAAACGTATTCTAGCCATCAGAGTACAAATGAATTGATAATTACTAAATATGGGTCACTTGTACGTAAGCAAATTCGCTTTCATCTTCCTTTATGAGTTTGTTAAAGCAACGCCCCCTAACAGAAATCACTCCAGTGGGTGGATAGAGTAGCCCCGAGTGTCACAGATGTGCCGTTGTTACGGCTCGTGCGCACAATGGCGCTAGGGTCTTAAAAAGTCAGCTTTTGGCGACTAATCTTAGCATTTGGACGAGTTACGTCGCGCACACCCATGACACGCAACGTGGATTACGGCGTAGCGGCTAATTCAAATACGCGCGGGTTAGTTGAGCCGTGGAGCAGGCAAGTTCGTACAACTCGTCCGGCCCCGCCCCTTCCTTTTTCAAGGGAAAATCCCTGTTCAGCTTCATCGACGGTGTTTTTGCTTGTTTTTTTTCAGTTTGGTCAACTCGTTACATTATCAGTCGCTGTGGTCCAACAAATCGATCGATCTACGGGTATTGCTTTGGGTAAAAAATGTAGGATAGTCAATAATCGCTTTCATAATGATTAAGCTTTGGAGAATATTATGTTCTGAGTATCGAATTTAATTCGGCTTATCAACACATTAAAGTGTCACGATGGCAGGATAGCGGTGCGATTTTGATGACGTCATTGCATGTCACAGGGCTGTGGTTGAGACCGCCTTCCAACTCTTTTCCACCAATAACGTTCAATGACTTCTATAAAATCGCACCGTCCAACACTATCGTGATCACTGCCTTTAAGCCATGTATACAAGTCGTCCTAATGTTCCAAGGAGGGCATCACAGAACGTGTTGGGAAATCACGAAAAAAATGGTAGATTTCGAATGCTGACGGATATGTGGTGGAGAAACTCGCAGCTAGCTTCTGGATGGCTTAGTGGAGCTTCCGGTCATGCTTTGTGGTGCTGAACAACGTTTGCCATACGCCATGCCTTCGGACTCTCCTCTTGATTCCAACTGCTTGGCAATGGTTTCATGTTTGCTCACGATCTATAGGGTAATTGTCGAGCTGTAGAGCGGATATTTCACTGCAAGAAAACCATTATGTGCTCCTCATCAAAGTCGTAAAGGCCTATGCGCCACCACCCCCCCCCCCTCAGCAACGACTCTACAGGCGGCCGACGAAGAGATGTGGCTGCTTTTGCACCGTTGACCTTAGAGCAGTTTATCTATTAGCGGATTACGTTCAAAATTGAACTCGTATTTAAGAGACCACTATTTTTTCTAAGTGGACGAATTTTTAATCTGAACGAGGATTTGGGAGCTTCTTGCGGACTACTTTCTACGTAGTACTGAATGCTCAGGGAAATATCAAGAAAATAGCGTTTTCGGATAATTACTGAGGAAATATTGCAACTTTTTTTACATTTTTCAAACGCCATAACTTCGTTCTTGTGCATCAAACTAGGAAAACAGATTTAGCGCTGAAAACAACAAAATTCGCTCTAGTCATAATTTCCACGGTGACTTCCAGGGTTCAGTATGTCAAATATGGTACTGTTGAAGGGTTTATGAAAACAACGAGGAAATTGCTCAAGATGGGCGAACTTTTACGTTTTCGAAAGCAATGTCTTCCTACAAGTTCATTGATTTAGAGCCTTTAATAGAGCGTCATAAAGCGGAAAATCTGCACTGTTTGACGGTTGTTGATATGGTTTTAAACGTTCAACACGTCGGAGGTGACTCCGAAGAGGTTTTTTGTCAGAGTATGGCCGAAAGACTCCCCTTCGTTGTGTTGTCACTCCCTCAACGAGCACAGGGTATTTCATAGGCAATCTTGCCCAAATACGAAATTTACTAAGGAGTGCAAAGTGTACTGCAAGGTTCAACCTAAGTGATTATGTGCCTATGAAATGAAAGGTTTAGAACTGCATTTCTTCTTGAATTGAGTGGTGGATTTCATCCTGTGATTTCGAATTTGAAGCGCATGGCCATGCAGCGGATCCAATCCTCTCCCGAAAAGGCTATCGCTCTTCATATCACCTGTTCCCTTCACTTACAACGCACCCCCCCCCCCTCCTCCCCTCTCGCGACTTAAAGGAATCTTCCGCGGAAAAAGCTCCGCCTCCATTACCACAGAAAAACGATACCCCTTAGGCCCCTAGCCTCATGAGCATAGCAAAAAGAACGGAACATAAGCGTTAGTTTCGATAATACTAATCCTACACACAAGACAAAATGATCACTCTTTCCGTGGAAGATTCCTTTAAGGTATCGTTTTCTGTGGTAATGAGGGCGGAGCTTTTTCCGTGGAAGAATTCCTCAATAATGACACCATCGTCGAGGGACTCCTCAACAACCTGACCTGCTGATGATGGTGTTGCTTTGATCGAGAGATCATCATGCATCTATTCTAAAAGCATAATATATAAGCGTCAATCGTCCGCGATCCAAATCAACAATCGGCTTATTGCTAAGTTTGACGGCGAGTGGGTCATATTACGGAAATTGGCATTGCAATCCTGTAAGACATCGGAGAAGAAAATTTCCTGGGCAGTTGGAATATTTTCACTGCATCTGGAGAACTTCGTCGATTTCGTACTTTTTGCCGTTTCAGCTGATTGTAATAAGTGCACGCAGGGTAAGCCGCCTGTTACGTGGAATTAGGAGTTCTAAGGCTGCTGCCTTTTCAGAGTGCATTAGTATAAGTCCCCCCCTTACATTAGCTGTTTATGTCTTTTACACATTTTAATGCCCATCATTGATGTATGGCCGCCATCGAGGTAGTGCAGTAGGAAGTTAGAAGGTTGTCCTCTTCTCCTCGCTCAGAGAAATAAATTCGAAGTGAAATGAAGTTTATTATTCAAAATAAAGTTTAATATTTACATTTCGTATAAACCTAGTTTTCCTTTGTAATAGCTTAGAACTATTTTCAGAAACTTACCAAGCTTTTTTCAACACCAGAACTCCCGTTTTTACGGTGTGAAAAACTGAGTCTCGGGGTAGCTGCGCACCTCTTTATTCGAAAAATTATGTATTTTTAAGTAACCTCACGAGACGTGATACGAAAATTTGAAAAATTCAAATTGTTCTTTTAAAGTGTCTGAATGGTTGCAAATGTTGAATTTCCCAGCGAATCGTCCCATTGTTCCGTTTATTGTGAACATGCGAGTTTTCAACATTCGCATAACTTCCTCCGTAACCAAATTTTTGCAGATCTGAAAGCTAAATAGAAAGAAGATTCTGTCGTTCCCGAAATGCACTAAAATTTTTCCCAAACATCACCCTCTCGGAAAGTCTCGTTGTTTCGTTTTCAAGGGGTTTGTAGTCGGATTATTAGGAACG